CTACAGGCTAGTTGGAAATTCTGGTTCACAATATATTTAACTGCTACAGGCTAGTTGGAAATTCTGGTTCACAATATATTTAACTGCTACAGGCTAGTTGGAAATTCTGGTTCACAATATATTTAACTGCTACAGGCTAGTTGGAAATTATGGCTCACAATATATTTACAAGTTTTATGATTAACTTCCAAGTTAACTTTATGTTATCGTCTTTTATCATAATAACTTAGATGTATCAGTTTCAGTTAGCTAAAGTTCAATATTTTATTTTAGGGTAATAGTTGGGATACATTAACGTGCTTCAGCTACAATAATAAATAACCTGAGCTAAAAATGCCGAGAGTTCGAATTATTTCTCAGCCATGGTTCAGAAAGGTACTGACAGAAGGCCAAAGGGAATTAATTCCTAAAGAATTAGGCTTGTGAAAATGGTGGAGCGTACTTCACCGAAACACCTAGAGGCTTTTAGCGTGAATGTTTCTGCCTTTAACAGCGAAACGTTGTCATTTTATTTTTATTAAAACTTTGCACAAGAGCTACCATTCTAACGTATTTAACGTAGTGAATTTGTTTGGTGTCTATAAGAAAACTGTAAGAACCGCAAGTAGGTTTAGAATGAAAACAAGCCGCTTATATCTGAGTAAGTGAATAAGTGACCACGGAATAAACAAACCTTAGATTTATACAAGTGAGATTCGGTTGTTTGAAATATATGCTACTACTTCCTCTCAGTCGTTTTAAACGATGCTGAGTGAACTGTCGGTAATCATACTTAAGGGAAAGTGTCTAGGCACTTATCATATTAATATAATTGTAAAATGTCTAACCAGTTGATATTCAGGCTATTTCAGACGTCTAAAGATTTCGCTCACTCAGTTCAAGAAGAGCCCAGAATTTGTTAATTTTAGATTAAATTAGATTCATATGTCTATTTTTTTTGTTCTAATCCTTATTCCGTAGCATTAGCGTACTAATGAGGAAAGAACTGATTGTTATGAAAGAACCATGAGAATGTCTTTTGTGAACCATTCTGGATAGATGACAAAGACCACAAACAGTAAACAATCCGGGTTTCGATACCCGTGGTGGGCAGAGCACGGATAGCCCATTGTATAGTTTTGGGCTTAATTACAAACAAACAGAAAATTATGAACAAATTCTCTTTCATCTAGTCTACTAATGAAATTCAAAGGGAAATCTACCATATTTTTTCGTATGTTAAATTCTATATTTTAAGAGGCTTATTACAATATTGTACTAAAATCAATCAAAAGTGGTCTTACAAGTTTTAGTGAGCTCCAATTTGGGAACTTATGACTGTAAACTTCTTGAGAGGTCCTCTCAGATGTTATTATTAGCAATTTAATATTTAGGCAGTAAACAAATATCCGTTCACTTATTTCCAGTGTTTTCTAGAACTGCTTTAACAAGTAAAGAACTTAATATTTAGGCATTAAACAAATATTCGTCTACTTATTTCCAGTGTTTTGACTGCCTAAATATTAAGTTGTTTACTTGTTAAAGCAGTTCTAAAACAAATATTCGTCTACTTATTTCCAGCACTTAGCAGTTTAATTACATACTCAATAAAAGTTATCCAGTACTAGGTGTCTATTTAGTTCTGGCTTTAGATTTTTAATGGCTAAAATAGCTTTCGGCCGTCTAGCGGTTCTTTTCAAGTTGATAAAAGAAATTAGAATTAAAAACACCAATTAAAGGTAAACTTCAAGCACTTTGCTTTAACAGAGTTTTAGTAGTTTAATTACATTCTCAGTAAAAATTATCCACTACCAAACTGTCCACTTAGTTCTAGTTTTAGAAGTTCTACTGGTCAATGTAGCTTTCATCCGTAGGTAAAAACTTGACGGTAGGTAAAGAAAATTTAAAATTAACTTTAATGGTAGTTATTGTTTTCAAGTATGTTTAATGATAACGTAAATCTTTATCATTTGATTCTTATCGACTACTGTCTAACGTTAATTGGCAGCCATTCACTTTTTATATTAATATTGCATAATAAAACCTTACGATAATGTACAAGTTGTTTGATATTATAGTTAATTAATGTTATGCAAATTAATATATAGTGCCCGACTAGAGAATTATATACTTATTGAGTAAGAATTTTAAATATTATTGCTGGGTCTGACACAGTAGGATTAGGTATTCGAGCTTAGATTTATCATGAGACAATTTTATACCAACAAATAAAGGTTTGGAACAATGTTTG